CGGGCGAGCAGCCCGTGTTCCCCAGGCCGCCGGAGAGGGTTTCTGGCTCCGTTACACGGAGAACCTCCGCAAAAAAATTAAAAAATTAACTGAGAGAATGTATTTCATTAAACCTAATTATTTTGTTCCCCTCACTCCAGCCTGGCAAGGTTTTATTCTCCGACGTGAAGCCAATATCCGTTCTCGAATCCCAGGACAAGTAGGGAAAAACTCCTCACAGGGCTCCCAAACAGCCTGGGCCGCCTTGAACTTCATCAAGCACAGTGACACGGAGGGGGGGATTAAAAAAAAAGGCCAGCAAATGGGATCTCCGTTTCCTAAGTACGTGCTGTTCATCTTACGCAAGTGAATCGTGTGACACGCGGTTGCTGTGGCAACATTTTACATTTATACGGCGCCTCGCACCCCAGAGCATCCCCGGGTGCCGCGTCTGCTCGACGGCGCTGTGCTCTGCCGGGGCAGGCGCCTGCACAGGGCAAGCAGCACCAGTAGAAGGTACCAATGCCTTTTTTTCATTAAAAAATAAATTAAATAGCCCGTACACCTGTGCCAAAAGCCATCATCTTCACACCCAAAGTGAAAGATACAGAAGCAATAGGGAGGCAGGACACACGCAGCAGAGCGGCCGGCAAAGCCACAAACTTCACTCCAGGGCTCCCCTGGATGACAGCTATTGAGTATTGACAGCTTCATCTATCTAGGGAAACTCTTTGTTCATTAGTCACGTTGTGTGCTTCCAATTTTTAACTTCTAGATAACCTTTAAAAACACAGGAACTGGAGGAGAACAGGGAGCTGGCAAACTCCCAGCAGACGTTTGCTACATTTAGAAAGAGAAAAGTTTTAAAAAGGAAGAAGGTCCAACCTTACTGTTGCAAGAGTGAGCCAGATTTTTTCCTTCTTTTCATCTTAAAATAAACTACTTTTCAGTCCATCTCCCTGGAAAGGATTTTGGCTATGAACCGTCGCAGGGTTTGGGGACTAACCTTGCTTATTCTCTCGAAACACAGAATATTTATATGATTCATGCTACAGAGACAGTCACACCAAATTCACACCCCTTCCTGCAGACTGGGCCCCAGATATGTACCATTCCACTTCCAGCAATCATTTTCTACCACATCGTACTTTGCTGCAGTTTGGAACAGAACATTAAAAGAAAAATCAGTTTTTGGTTTGTACAGGCGTATTTTACCTAGAGAAATCTGAGTAACAACATGGTAAGACACTGTCCAGCTGAAACTGCTTTCGAGAATCACAGCGACTGAAGAACAGCAAAAGGAAGATTTCCCACCTCTGCTCGTTTAACATATTGCTGTAGCTAGCACATGTTCGAAGTCACTGACAGACGCTGTTTTGAACACACAGCAAAACATTATGCAAACTCTTTTAGCCTTCCTACGTGGGTGAGAAGCAGCTTCCAAATAAGAAGTTTACAAGGATTTCAATCTGTAAGTACTTCAGTTAGACTCTGTGCAACTACATAACCAGAAGCTTGATCTGGAGCGATGTATGTGGAGACTCCGGTGCCTAAGTATAAGGTTAAAAAGTAATCAGCATCGATCAATGGCAACTATGTTGTGCTACCAACGCTTCTCATACCTATCATTCCAGATGAGACCTGAAAGAAAAAAATTTACTGGAACCTGAGAACTCACCCCTTATGCCTGTTTTCTTTTAACCCATGTTTTGCCCTCACACAAACATGACGAATGGCAGTTCAGCAAAAGCTATATTCTGGATTGCAACAAATGCTACAGAATCTAAAATATAAGGCGCTAAAGCACGAAATGAATTGCCATAAAAAATTAAGATACAATCTTTCTGGAGTAGCCATCATCTGTGCTAAAAAAAAAAAATCACATTGGCAAGTGGTTTCTATTAATACAGCTGTATCTGGGAAAAAGAAGAATCCTGTGTATCCTGTAATCTGATGATCTCCAGCATGAGCTCTACTAGAACCACTAGCGATCAGTTAGACAAGAGATTTCTGTAAATCTGCACTGGCAATGGCTGCTAGAAAAAAAGCAGACTAACTCAGCTGGAGAATACACAACTCTAGTGCATTTAGTTGCTATTTTTACCATGTTTTTAGTCAAGGTGCTCACGCAAACATTAGCAAGAATCAGGCTTTGCTTGAGGAATATGCTTGTTTTCCTGTAACAAGCTTACACAAAATTTGAGACACATTCACTGTTTTAATGCCCACTCTGAGCAAGGCTATGAAGAGTCAGATTTTCATTATTTTGTGCATCACCATAACCTTATCGCAGCCTAAGAAATAATAAAACCCCTTCCAGTGTGGATATGCTCCTCACACAGTAAACGGTTTGCTGGTGTTTTGAGACATTTAAGTGATACACTATTCTGCAGCAATTGCTATGTGACAGGCAGCTTGCAAGCCTCACGCTCCCCGAGTTGATTTTGACAGGACAGATTAGAACAGACATTACTTTTAATCTTCAGACTTTCTTTGGAACTTATTTCCTTCAGAAACAAGAAACCAGGCATCTACAGCTTTGTCACAAACATTCTTTACACAAAACACATTGTTGGCACTTGCATTTACTCCAGTGGATTTGAATTTTTATACCAATTAAATACTGGATGTCATGGATTGTACGTATATTAGGGAACATTCTGGGCTTTACCCTTTAATGTTATGGTTAAATTGAGTTTTTACACACACTGTTTTCTTGGGCATTATTTGCAGACATTGTATAACAAGAGCAATCTATTAGTAACAAAGTTCATATAGTATATCATCATGTGTACAAGAAATTTATTTTGAAATACGCTTTTTAGAAAAATATAGTTCTAGCTCCAATTCCTGCAGTTCAGGTTAGTAAAATGAGTTTTGTAGTGAGAAATACTTCGTCAGACAACATCTACCAGTAGAAGTCTGAGCCACGCCACTTCATAAAATTTCATGCCTTATTTTTAGCCATCACCAGTTCTCACCCCCATACTGAGTAACCGCAGACATACAGGATATGCACAGGTATACGTGCTTCTAACGAAAGAACCAGAAAACTGATAACCAACTGCCTTTACTCAGGGAAAGATTCAGGTACATTGCTGTTGTATTTAAATTCCTCTTAGCTTGTGATAAACACTTTCTTGAAATCACCGCAGTTCTACATTTGACAAAGTCACCGGATGGATCACCTTGTCTTTTCCAGGACTACCACTCCGCCCACACTCCCACAACATCACAAGCCATACTCTGGCATATCGCACTGCTACCAGCAAAAGAACCGCAGCTTACCAACATGACCAGAACACCCCTACAACTTTTGAAACAGGAGCCAGTTATCTGATGCTACACTGTAATGATTAAATTTCAACAGCTCTGTAATTAAAAGTTAACGGTTCTCCCACAGGGCTCTACTGCTAAGCTGAACTTAAGTATCTGGAGCTTGCCTAACTTCTAAGGCAGCATTAGGTCAAGTCACTGTGCACGCAATCATCAGCTACAGAGCCTTTAGCAGGCACACAATAACACATCGAAAACGTTCAGTAAGCGTCACACAATTCCTAGAACGTAGGCATACATGCAGGCACCATCTCTTGCAGGGTATCAACACGAAGCTAAAAGCATCTCCAGCATGCAGCAACACAGTTCCAGTTAGGCAAATATTAGCTGTCGTGAATTGGTTTCAATGAACTTCAACAGGGGAAAAGGTAGGCATGTCAAGAAGGAACACCACTCAAATATTTTGAAAGATCAGATACAAACCTAAAACACCGATCTCCAGGCCTTCCAATCCTGCTTTGATTCTGCTGTAAATGTCTTCTCTCTCTCCAAAGTCTGCCACAATGACTTTTGTTTCCACTTTGTACTTCTCCCCTAGAAAAAAAAATTTTAAAAGTTTAAGTTTGAAATAGTTGAATTACCACTCAGATATTAAGAACATCTCAGTTATCATGGTTTTAGAAAACATTATTTTAAGTAGCTGCTACTACACATTAACATTTTCACCTCTGCAATAGGAATCCTTGAATTTTAACATAACCTGCGCAAGAAGTTTGCGATATTAAGCTACTTCTGGTGACAAGTAAATTCTGAAACGATTCAGCACATTTTATAAGGGACCATGAAGATGGCAAGAAAACAAATTATACAGGTTTGCACAGAATAAAAAAAAAAAGCAGAAATCAGAAAACACACGTACACAACAGTGTTGAAGTACAGCTTGTGAAGAACACTTATTTCATACTTAAGCCAAATGGTAAATGAGTTGCCTCAGACCAAGCAAAACAATTCTTTATTGCCCTCTGTTTCCATTCACACTGGTGCCATAAAACTTTGATTATTTAGTATTTTGAACACAAACCAAAGTGGGAGCAAGTGGGTGAACAAGAAGTGCAGAACTTCAAGTTTAATCATTCCAAAACTGTTCTGTTGTGCTGTCATCTCCATCCTTAACAGAACAGGAAAAATACACTTAGCCAACTACATTTTGAAATAGAAGCAAGCAAGTATTAAAAATACTTCACGTATAAAGTAATTCTGCTTCCATCAAGCTAAATTAATTACATTGAATTAAAATCGGTGCAATGTCCTCTCAGACTTCAAAAGGGCAGAACAGCAGCTTAACATCGCAGCATCTCTGTGCTTTGCTGCACCTGACTCCCACCCCTGTGTTCCTTAAGGCACCTGTGTACAGCCTGAGAAGGATTCTGCAGCACTTTGTCCCCAGAGCCATTCATAAAAGCAGTGCCATGTTAAAGGAAAAGAATCATTCACAAAAAGATTAGAAGCAGCCAGATTCCCATGACGCTCCTTCCCATTCAAGGGAAAGCCGCGACTCCCATGATCCTGCCGTCCATTCATGCAGAATCATGAATCTACTGAACTCGCCCGTTTGCTGGCTTCCTCCCCTCCCCCCCACCATATCCCTAATGGCAGATGAAATTATTTCTCCTCCTTTTCCCTCTCCCCACCCTCAACCTCTTCATCTCTCCTGAACAGCTGCATTGTTTAAAAATCCCCTGAGAGATGCTGCTATGTCAAATGACGACGTAAATAGCATTAAGCCCCTGCTGCAGCAGCAGTCTTGTGATCGCGTCAGAAGAAAATCAAGTTCAACATTGGGGGGGGGGGGGGGGGAAGAAACAGTCTATTTTTGAACACAACTGTTCTAATATTCAGCACACACATTCAAGTCCTTACAGGACACCGAATTAAAGGCAGCGTTAGAGGCACATCTAACATGTGCAAGTGGACTGGGAGGGCAAAGCCCCAGTCACACACTGCTACACACGTGCCATTTTTAACTGCTTTGCGGGATCTGCAGCTGTCTTCACCGCCACTCAGATGCCTCGTGAAACGCAAGTTGTTTAAGGGACCCAAACACCATCCTCACAGATTTGCTCAGCTGGTACTGGCCCTTTCACACCAAGAACTCTTCACTAGGACTGTTACTGATCTGTCTTTGAAGTCTATTAAAATCACTACACGGACACTGAGAGGACAAGGTAAGAAAAAAAAAAATCTGAAGACCTCATACTATAAACAGAAAAAAAACAAAAGCCCTCACACCACTGTTCATATAAGACCCTTCTTTGAGCCTGTGGAAAATTAGCAAAGAGCCATTACATTTAAGGTAGCTCAGCAACACACCTATGAGCAGGTGCGGCACCCTTTGCGGACAGAGGGTGGGTAGCACAGTGTATGAAATCATATGAAAAGTAGAAGATTGCCCACCGGCACAGGCAGAGGACAGAGTCTTTGTGTCATTGCTCACTGCAAGCACGAAAGACTGTCCTGCCCTGGCAGGTGCCACTCACTGACCAAACCCTCCCTCCTCCCTGTTTCACGCCAGCATTCAGGTATCTTGCGACTTCTGCATACCCCGTGCTCTGTCCCACAACCTGCAATAGGTGGGATGATCCACTACATCAGTGAAAAGACCAGTAGATACACCCCACAAAACGGTTTGATGCCAAACAATGATGCAAATCACTTAAAGTCACCTCTGCATAAGCTCATCCTAGCAGTCAGAGCACAAGGTGCAGAGGAGAACAGATGTGCTTTGTTCTGTATGAACAATGGAAAAGGGAATTTCCCTGATCTTAAGAAGGATTAAGATGTTCTCACACAGATGGGCTAGAAGAGAGAGTAGCGCACATCCTTGTTTTCTCTGCCAAAATGATTCTGAGATGTAGCATGATAGAGAAAGGAGTAAGCCGGCTATGTCCTAACCCAGGACATCTAGCAGGGACTGCAATCTCACTGTCCAGGAAGAGAAAACCTGAAACTCCTTAACGGAGCTTTCAGCTTGAAGACCATGAGGTACTCAGGAGCCACAGGGAGTGAAAGAAAGGTATCAAGCCAGGTTTTGCAGTCAGCAGCTAGAGGATCTGAAAGAGCTGATGTTATCTGCCAGTGCGTCCAGCATTCCTGATGATATACTTAGAAGAAAATCTGACATTTCATCTTTGGAACTGGTACTCCAAATGCTTCTTAGAGGGGGGACTGAATATTACACCACCATGTGATCAATAGCAGTAGGGACTGAGCATTACACCCCCATGCTATCAGCGGTTATGCAGCAGTCAGTCATCACCAACCCATAAGGTCTCAAGGATGGGAAAGGAAGTTTGAGCAGGCCTCCTTCACATTTCTCAACTCCGACACACCAGTGTTTTAATCATCTCACTAAAAATCTCAGGTGAGATCAGTGTTGTCCCTACAAACCAGCTTTAACCTAAACTTGCACACATCCAAGGTAATTTACAGAGCCAGTATGACCTCAGCCAAGGCTCCGGTGATTTAGCAAGAGACCAACTATGCACAATAGTATCCTGGTAATCTAATAAAAGCAGATATCTTCTGCAACCACACCACCATTTGACAAATCAGTTGTTGCCCACAGAAAAAGCCTCGGCAAAACACCTTCACAGCTGTGGGAAGGCTGAACAAACCAACAGCCATAATGATGATACAGCAGGATGGTACAAGTGTTGTACAAGAGAAACAGGCATAGTGAACTTTTGTGGAAGATAATGGGATGGAGTCTTTCAAAGATCCAAACAGCAATCCAAGAACACGGTCAGACCGCAGAGGCATAGGCATGTCGCAGACCAATGCCTACAGAAAAATAATTATCATGCAAACAAAGGCAGTATAAAAAATACACATTAGAAGTGCAACATAAAATGACTGAAAAAAGTGCCACTTTTTGCACAGGTGGTAAAGAAGAACTGACCTCCTGAGGCATGTTCCCATTCTACGCACTCCTACACAAAACAGAATGAGACAGTCTGGAAACAAATAGGCTATTTGACCATGTTCTTCACATACACACCATCAGAAATATAAATGCTTTTATGGATAATCCCTGGAAGAAAACTCTACCCTTAGTATCCCCAGAAGAGGACTCCAAACAGCATCTCAAACTTGGTTAAGATGCCACTATTCAAAATAACCACTGCGACATTTAGGCAGTCATTCCACGTCTGCCTAAAGGTCCATCTATGCAAGTATTTGGTATTCTGTAGCAGATAAAGAAGAAAATGGTGTAAACAAGAAGAAAAATACATAGTAACATTTCTGCAATTTACTATCCCAAGCTCCAACAGTTAGCTGCTCAGAAGCTTCCTGAGCTGGGTATGTCTACCCTGATGGCCTTCAGCCAATTCTTCTTACAGCTGTTTGCCCAGTCACCCCGGGCTGCATCAAGAGAAGTGTGGCCAGCAAGTCGAGGGAGGTGATTCTGCCCCTTTACTCCACTCTCGTGAGACCCCACCTGGAGTACTGCGTCCAGCTCTGGAGCCCCCAACAGAAGAAGGACATGGATGTGTTGGAGAGGGTCCAGAGGAGGGCCACGAAGATCATCAAAGTGCTGGAGCACCTCTCCTACAAGGAGAGGCTGAGGGAGTTGGGGCTGTTCAGCCTGGAGAAGAGAAGGCTCCAGGGTGACCTTAGAGCAGCCTTCCAGTACCTGAAGGGGCCTACAGGAAGGACAGAGAGGGACTTTTCACACGGGTGTGTAGTGATAGGACAAGGGGGAACAGCTCTAAACTAAAAGAGGGCAGATTTAGATTAGATATTAGGAAGAAATTCTTCACCATAAGGGTGGTGAGGCACTGGCACAGGTTGCCCAGAGAAGCTGTGGATGCCCCCTTCCTGGCAGTGTTCAAGGCCTGGCTGGATGGAGCTCTGAGCAACCTGGTCTATAGTGGAACATGTCCCTGCAGGGGAGTTGGAATTAGATGATCTTCAAGGTCCCTTGCAACCCAAACCATTCTATGATTCTATGATTTAAAGTCATCAATAGTTCACAGGAGAAGAAAACCTATTCTTACAGAGATGTGACATTACTGTTTACTTATAAATGCAAGAATGAAGGCTGCTTAAGAGCAGATTAAGGCTAGGAGGTCCACAGGAGACCCCCAGTTCTACCTTATGGTGGAAACAGTACCTCCAGATGCCAAACGAAGTTAGCTTGTAGCCAGCAAGATCGTAAGTGAAAGATGTTGCAGCACTGGGGAGGAGGTGAGGGCAGTAACACCGGAGGAGGACAGACTGGTGTGGCTGGAAGCCATGCATTTCAGCAAGGAGGCAGCAGAGAACTGAAGATAGCAAGGTAGAGAAAGGACAACCCAGTGGCAGAAAGCACACCAGCACCATCCCAAGCAACAGCTGAAGAGACACAATGTTCACCTGAGTTCTCAGTTAAAACAGTTACAGCCTCACTAGGTGAAGCAAAAGCTGAATTAACTCCAAAGGCCAGAGATGTCCGACTTACAGGAAATGTATCCAGTACCTTGCTACTTTAGGAAAACACTAATCTGAACCATCAGGCAAAGTGGGGCATACCTCTGCTACTAAAGATTCAGGTG